GCACACAATCAGGATGATAATTTGGGACTACATTTTTATGAAATGTCTCAAATATGAAATTAAACATTTGTGTTGGTCTGACCCTACTTGTAGCAGATCAATGTACAGAAGGAGTATGCGTGGGAATATCATTCACACTCCTCCCTCCTTATATTTTAAACAGAACCTGACATACTTTGTACTTGTTCACTTTCTTCTGTGCTTATTTTCATTGCTGTACGAACTATTAGATAAGCGTATCACCAATGAACAGAAAGTACATATCTGCATTTTGCTTTTTGTTATGTATGAATGAACACAGCAACACCCACCCTGCTCTGATTGCCCAGGCTAATGCTATTCACTCTGGTGGTTCGTAGCATCTCAGAATGTTGTCCAGCAGAAACATCATGAAGTGTTAATAGAAAATGAGGCACGCACAAATCTACCTCCCTAGGCATACAGTAAGTGCGTGCTACTGCTGCTCTGGGAACTTGTGGACAGTCAGTATTCTTGCAGGCAGGGACAGGGTCATGCTAATATTCTTCATGTTCGGTATTTTAAATTAAAATGTCCTTAATAGGATCAGTTCTGTATAGTACTAAAGTTACACTTGTATTTAAATGCAAAATTTTCTATTTAAGAAGCAACCCTTTTCCACCAGCCAGTATAGGAAATTCTATAGAAAGAAAACAGGGTAAAAAATGCACCTCTTCTCTCATTTCTAATAATAACTATTACTAGTAACTTCAGAGGCATTGTAAAATGTACCAAACAGACACGTGGTTGTCAGATGTATGTGTTACAGATATATATGTTACACCTACACGTCCAGAAATTAGGGCTAGGAATTCTTCTGCCTGATACAGATGTTACATCTGTGGAGGTCTACATCTGACCCAGCTATCCAATGCTCCCTTGATTGTCGGTGGGTAGAAACAAGCACTTGTGAGGCACAGTCTAGGTCATGCAAAAGCAGAAGTCTTCAGTAAGTCAGATGAACCATAGTACTGAAGTGCATGTTACTCTCTTTTCTGGGGAAGGGGGAAAGCAAATTGATTTACTAGCTTAGTCGTAGACATTTACAGTTAGATCAGACAAATTATGTCATAGATTTTTGGGAGAATGGTAACATTGACTAGCTTTTTCCAAGATAATAGCTGAACTCCAGTCCCTGTGGCATTCAAGGATTCTTTTTACCATGGACTTAAATGGGACAAGATTGATATGGTTTGCTGCATTTATT